TCTACTGACGTGCTATCATTTTAAACCTCAAGGCGAGGTGCACTGCAAAAATACCAACCCATGCCATCATTAACATCAACACTAAAACGCTGCACTGTGTGTATATTACAGCACCGCACTCAACAAAATCCATACTGTTTTGGCTCGGTTCAAATCAATTTGCCACTGTATAAAATTTTCCCTCAACATTGCACTCATTGTTTTATCCTTCCCATTGTTTGTAGGTTTAGTTACTGTTTCCTGCTTGTAGTTCTTCTGTGTTGATTTCATTACAGTACACTGTGTCCATCTGTCATCATAAACCCTAATGACATATGAGGAATTGTTAGGTAGTTGGGTGTTGCTCTCTGTGTGTAAATGATAAGCAGTCTGGAGAATGGCTGCTTATCGGTTGTGTGCGGCCCTGCATGGCTCAGCTCTGTGCTTGCAATAAAGTCAAAGCAGCACCGCGTCATGCATGTAGTGAATGTAAAAGAATAAATGCTCAAGTTAACAGATGGCGTTGACTTCTGTGACAATACTTTTGGTATGAGTAATAAAAAGTCCACAACTAGAGCCACCTCCCTCTTGCAGTTCCCCCTTGGTAAATGTACCACTCATCTTCCGCTCCTCTTCTCCACCTTGCTCCACCTAGTTCATCTGATCTGGCTGTATAAACTAGGCAGATGTTTTTCTCACTTCAGCCCTTTTATTGCCACATTTACAATGTGAATTACAGCCTCCTTATCTACTGACAGTTGTCCTGGGTAGCAGTTTTTTTTTAATTTTATCCAGTGTAATACAAATATTAGCTTTGAAACTTTAGGACTCAAAGTACTGTAGTATGTCCCCATTAAAAAAGTACGAGTTGTGCATAGGTCTATGAGGACATTTACAAATGTGCATTTTAGCAAGTGGTGACTGATAATGTTATCTCAGAGCTAGCCAGTAGCGGCTGGTCCATTGGGGCAGGTGGGGCGCAGAAAAAAAATTGAGCGTGTGCCACATTTACAGCCAACATGCTGTGTGGCTTAGATGTCCTGTTTATAACTACATAGCAGTTCTCCTATATGTTTTTTAGTCTGTCCATATGCTAAATGAATGTGTGCTCTTGGTGAGATCATTGCAAGTGATCAAATAGAGTATCAAATTAGAGCAACAAAGCCTGATGGAACAGAAGCCTGTATGACAGTATTTGACCACAAGCTCATCTGATGCATTAAACTATAAATACACACAGAAGAAAGACTATGCAGCTTCCCCACAAAGGGCCAAACCTTAGTAGGAGACTAAACTAAAAGTCTGAACTGTTCTGTATGGGCAGTATGTTTCTGCTGAGTGGGGCTTTAGCTATTTCATTCACCTTCATGTTCTGTGTTCTTGCAACAGTTTCCCTTCCACTGCTTTTGTTGACCTTAACATTTGCATTTATACATATTTGACAAATCCATAAAAATGAGAAAATAAGAAATAGCTGCTTTTATACAGGGTAAAGGGACTTACTGATGGATTTGGAAACTACAAACTGAATGTGTTTTGCAGTAGTTTTTGCAGATACTTGAAGAACCTATGACAGAGAGCGATAATACCCTTCATGTTGTTCTTTTTTTACAGTCTGTCCTCTATCTGTTAGTGCCAGGTGTTGAGAAAAGGAGACTCAAGTGTGACAAGCCAAACATACTCACACAGATACACACACATACACACATTCAGGAGGGAACGGTGAGATAATGCTTTGTCTAGACAGTCAGAAGTCATTTCATTAGCCAGACGATTTGACCCACCCACCCATCTCCTACAAAGTCCTGCAGACGCTGGGATGCCCAAAGAGACAGACACATCAGACTATTTTATTTATTTATTTAAGTAGCTAAACCTGAAGTAGTTGTCCAAATATATTTAAGTATGTGAACATAAAAAGCATTATAAAATAATCCCCCAGGTTATTGACAAATACCTAAAGCCATTATAAAAAAGCCCATGTTTGAAGCTGTTTTTTGTCTTCAAGTTTTATGTTTTATTTGACTCTCAAGATTAATTTTTTTTGCATTATGATATTGGGAATTGTTAAGTAAAATCATTAGGACTCTCATTACCATTGGGTTTTATGCTGAAGCAAAATTTTCATTATACTTTGCTTATTTGGTGGTGTCTAAAGCCGTTTTCACCATTGCTCTGTCACATTGTCAGCCCAGCAATAATGACAGGTTTAATAAAAGATGGCAAACAGAAGCAGTCGCAGGCAACAATATGAGGACCACTCATGACCTCGCTCTACAAGCTCTATTCTCCTTCCCTCATTTTCCCTCCATCTCTGACCCTTACATGGCATGCAAAATGACCCTGATCCTCCCAAAAAGGAGATTAAGCAACCCCTGACAGAGAGGTAATCTCTCTGAAAACATTGACTATTATCATTTCAACATGCTGCCTCTGAACAGAGGAAAATGCCTCTCTGGTATGCTTAATTGCAGTGTGGGACACACAATGCTCCTTTAGGTATGCTAAATGGAAAACTTTGGCTATTGAAGGCATTCCACCATTGTAAATGTAAAACAATGGATCTTTGCAGATTTGTGCTTGACATGAAACTCATAAACTCAAGCAAACTCCAATAAAACACTTTCAAATTATTTTGCTTTAGGCCGTGCTATTCTGACACTACAGAGGGTTTAATTTGTCAGATTTGGTGACTATAAATATGTCTGAACCTTAAGTTTGCATGACTCGTGAGCACCAGAGCCACTTTCCCAGTGAAGTATAATTGGTCACATTGTTGCCTGTGAATGTTGTCATGAGATAACATTCCAATCATTTGACCTCTTACTTTTAGCTCATTTAATTACTTATCTGAGTTCTGCACAAGGCTCAAAACTGTGCTGCCGTTTGTGTAGCTTCTTTTATTTTTTCGTCAAATTTTCAACAAGTCAAAAATAATTTTCAAGAGTTCCCTGTGCTTTTAAATAGTTTTTTTTATTTTATTTACATTGTTTTATAGTTTTACACTAGTTAAGATACATGCATGGCCTTAATTCATTGCAAGCAATGTTAAACACGTTTTGACCACAATATTGAAACTGACATAAAGTCAATGAATTGCGAAGGAATTTGCGTGTTACAAAATGCAAAGAGCAGCTAGCTGCAGCCTGGCATTTTAAAACCAGAGCTACTGTATCTGTAATCATGTTGGCAGATATCTTACACTGGAATTTTCCATAAGAGAAACAGGCTGGCTCTGTGTCTGTACATACATCCTTTTGTCCACCAGTTTGCGCCTGTGATTATCCTGTCATGTCTCAGTCACACACTGTTGACGCTGTTCTGTGACGTAACGCATCTTTCAAATTATTTTTAGCGTAAAGTCCAGGCGCAGGAATCGGTAATCCAAGGAGTGACATCTGGCCTTCAGGGCTTATGTGATTAGCAGAGAGCCTTGCCCCTAATAGCCCAGCGGACGTTCTTCATTACCTCTCAGGAGGAGTCATAGCTATATACCAGACATAAAGTGAGCAGACGTTCCTGCTTAAAGAAAGAAAAATAAAGTTACAGCCTAATGATTCTTCAGAACACAGATGTGTAAATATCATGACTGAGATTTAAATGCATTAATTGATGAAGCATGGAGAAGCTGCACTAAATCAGTTACAGTAGAACATTGGCCAGACATTCAGTAAGCCCTTATCCTCTGATATAAAATACAGCTCCAATCCCACTGCATTAAGGCTAAGACCAGATGACCAGAGATATAACTAGTGAGTCAAAGCCCAACTAGGCCAGTGTTTGAGGTTTGTGTGTGCACAGGACTGGGATGTTTTTAAAGCTGTTAATAACAGAACGTAATAATTTCATTTACTATAAAGCCTAAATGTATGTGCCGGCATTGAAATGGCCAGTTGAAAGACACAAAAAAAAAAGAGTTAATCTGAAACGGAAGACATTTTGTTTCCCATCCGGGAGGCTTTATCAATTCAAAATTCAGTTTTGAATTGATAAAGTCCTGGATGGGAAGTGAAACGTCTTCAACTTCAGAATTAAAGTCCATTTTTTTTGTTCTTTTAACACTTTTTTATATTTATCATGACCTGGATAACTTCACCAGCATACAGCCAGTTGGAAGCTCTTAATGTGGTAGTAGAAAACTACTTTAAGTTGACACAAAACTGTAGCATTTTGTCTATGAACACGTGTTCAGATAATCTTTTTTTGGTGCTGTGATAATCATTTCAATGTTACAGCGAAGCCTGGCTGTTTGCAAAGAGAGAGATAAAGAAAGGGACTATTTTGGGCAGTTGTTTGCTTGGAGAGAAGCTTTTGCTTATTCTGAGGCAGTTTGTTCCCAAGAGTTCAGAGTACAGCCTTGTTGCTGTTTTGCTTTTGTTTTCTTGTTTTCAGGAGCCGCGCTTGTGCAGGAGTTCAATGCCCCTGTTCTTTTTTTATGGTTATCTGAACATCAATTTTTTTCCCCTTAACTTTCCTCAGGGTTATAATTGTGTATCAATAATTGCTTAAGCAGGGTTGTTTATGGGTGTAGGAAAATTATTAAAAAATCCCTGAAACTTGTCTTTGTCTGTCTGTTTTTAGGAATTATTTTATATTGCTTCTTTTTTTTTTCTGTGGAAGGTTCTGTGAAATACTACTCATTTAATATTTACTCAGCCTGTTTACAGAACTGCTGATGGGAACAGTGGGGAAAAGACATTTCCTCTGTGTGAACCAATGAGTACAATTGAATTGAAATCTGCTAATCTTCTTGCTGTTTTTTTTTTTTTTTTTTTTGACTTATAGAACAATATTTAAGAAAATGTCCTTAATGAACAAACATTACTTATTTCAAATTGTTTTATTAATAATATAGGGTTTAAAAACGATGCATTGCTATATATGTTGTTTTATTGACCTGCTATGACCCAGGCTGTTTTTATTTAAAGCTTGTGACAACTCATCATGTTTCACTCTCTCTCAAATTTCTAACCTCTCACTTTCATTCCTTTGACTCCCCCCTCTGTTCCCTCTTGTTACAGGTATGGCCTCGCAAGTGCAAGTGTTCTCCCCTCACACTCTCCAGTCAAGTGCCTTCTTTAGCGTAAAGAAACTCAAGGTGGAGCAGAGTTGTAACTGGGATATGACAGGGTACGGCACGCACAGCAAAGTCTACAGCCACAACAGCAGCAAGAACGTATCGACCACCAGTGGTGCCCTTGGCATCAACAGCTCCCTGCAGGTTGCCAGCTCCACCCTGCCCTACGAGCAGGCTCTCTTCTTCCCAGCCAGCGCTGGCCACATTGTGGTGGCCTCAGCCAGCAGCACTTCAGGGGCCATCGGCTCTCTGTTGGGCAGCAGCGGTGGAGGCAACAGCAGCAGCAACAGCAGTGGTGGTGGAAGTGGAAGTGGCTTGGGCAGCGGAGTTGGTGTTCACAACTTGACACGCCGCAGCACGGTGAGTCTACTAGACACTTACCAGCGATGCGGACTAAAACGCAAGAGTGAAGAGCTTGACAATAACAGCAGCGTGCAGATCATCGAGGAACAAGGCCCACGAATGATTCAGAACGGAGGAACTAGCGGAGCCACAGTGGCTACAGTGGCCACTGCCACTTCCACTGCAACCTCCAAAAACAGTGGCTCCAATAATGAGGGAGACTACCAGCTGGTTCAGCACGAGGTGCTCTGCTCCATGACCAATACTTACGAAGTATTAGAGTTCTTGGGAAGAGGAACTTTTGGACAGGTGGTTAAGTGCTGGAAGAGGGGAACAAATGAGATAGTGGCCATTAAAATCTTAAAGAACCACCCTTCTTATGCACGGCAGGGCCAGATTGAGGTCAGTATCCTGGCACGTCTCAGCACGGAGAGCGCAGATGACTACAACTTTGTGAGGGCCTACGAGTGCTTCCAGCACAAAAACCATACGTGCCTGGTATTTGAGATGTTGGAACAGAACTTGTACGACTTCCTCAAACAGAACAAGTTCAGTCCTTTGCCTCTCAAGTACATCAGACCCGTGCTTCAGCAGGTAGCCACAGCACTTATGAAACTGAAGAGCCTTGGGTTGATCCATGCGGACCTGAAGCCAGAGAACATCATGCTCGTGGATCCATCTCGACAGCCCTACAGGGTTAAAGTCATTGACTTTGGTTCAGCCAGCCATGTTTCCAAAGCAGTCTGCTCCACTTACCTTCAGTCCAGATACTACAGGTAAGAATAGCAATGTTCACAACATAAGCTTGGGTTGAAATAGATGTGGTACTCTTTGTTTTTTTTTAATCATTCATCCAGTGTGGGGAAGTCAAAAAAAGGCATGTTACTGACTTATTGTTTGTCCTATACAGTACGTCTTGTGTTTTTGCATTTTGTTTGAGTTACTGCGATTTTAATGGGAATGTTTTCATTGGTCAGCTAATTATAAAACATTCAGACTTTCTGCCAATCTCACAAGCTGCTACTTAAATTGTTTTTGCATTCCAGCTTTGTATTTTTTTTCTTGTGCATACCCTATAAGCTCTATTTAATGTTAAACCGGGCAGTAAAACTCAAAGGCTTGCAAAGTAGCCAGCTGCTTATTGTGTTTAATAGCACAAAAACAAGCATGTGCTGCTGCTATTTTCATGATTATAGAGGACTTGCTTAGTTAGTTGGTCACATCTTGCTGAAGCACGTGTAAAAGCCAAATGACCACAGGGAATGTTATAACAATGATGCTGTTTAGTTGCATGAAGTGGTTTGGATAAAAAGCATTGTTTCCTGTTGTTGATAGAAGTGCATTGAAAAGCTCCCAGACAACCTTTCTTGTGGAAGAAGGGTACTAATCATTTAAGGTGGCATTCTGCCCATAGGCATCTATTCCCTCTTTTGCACATCAGACCCTCAGCCCTCCGTTAGTGACTAGCTCCCATTTCCCTGGGTAAAGAGATGAGGGGTCAGCCTGAGTTCTCCTGTAATATGTGCCTGTAATCCATACCAGCAGACCCTGCATTAGAACCAGATGACTCTCAGGGAAGACCCCTTTTTTCTCTCCCAGTGCCTAAAAAAGTACTTTTTACAGATGGCAAACAGTGTGTAGGTATCAGAAAAAGCATAATTTGGGAAACTGTAAAATGAATCAATTAGTGTTAATACTGTATCTGCATGGAGAGACAATGTGGTTCTTAAGTTTGGTTCTAGAGTTCATAGAACAGGTGTAACCACATACACTAACACAGGCTCACCCCCCTACATACGAACACACTTGCCAGGTGTTACTCTTCATCATCAGTGCACAGTGTGAATTCTGCTGTATGAAGTAGTTTTAAACTGTTGTCAAAAAGGGTTTTGTTGTATGTACATTTTCCTTACAGTTTATTATTAATGATTAAAACAAGCTGGTCTGAAAACAGCAACTTCCTGTTTTTGTGGTAACGCAGAAGATGATCAGTACCTAAATTAAACTGCTCTTTCTATGTTCCAAAATACGTGGCTACATCTGTCAGGCGTAGCGTTCTAACAGATCTTTGGTTATTTGTCCTCATTTAAAAAAAAATTCTTTTAACTTATGCCGTAATACAATTTTGCATGATGAAATTGGTTTGCACATGCCTTCAAAACATTGTCGTTATGTCATTTTAAGTATGTCTTTCCAAAGTAAACAGAACTAGTGGCATGTTGTTCTTTGCTGTAGGTCAACAAACAGGTTATAGAACATTATTGTTTGTTTTTAATGGGAGTGACAGGAATAGGTGGGCAGAAAGATCATCCCTCCATTTTCTTTTTGCAACAAAAAAGACGTTAAATGACCAAAATGTATCTGTCAGCCGCTAAGTCTTTGCCAAAGAGTCTGCGAACTCGATTTGAACCGACTAGAGTTGTGAGCGCGTGCGTTTTCAGGTTTTCTGAGCTGCATAATGATTATGTGTCAACAGTGTGTGAGCTTTAACCAGGCAAGTCTCACTATTTATTTCAAAGATTGAGCTTGGAGATTGGTACCATGGGCGTGTTAGCGCTGCATGCTGTGGACAGCAAACACACTTTGACTGTTGGATGAATTCACAGTAAGTTCATAAGCGTAAATCAAACATCAAGTCCGTTTTTGATGATTACAGATAAAATAAATAGCTGGGTAAGGTTTGTTGCTTGTACAGTGACAGGCGGTGATTGCATACAGGTGTGCTTACCCGGCTCCGAAAAACAGCATCTATGACAATCTATACTCGCCATAACAACAACCATATTCCCACAATGTATTGATTCTTCGTGAATAAAACTTTTCTTTTTCTTCATAAACAATACCAGATTTTGTTCAATGAGGTGAAAAGACCTCAGAGAATAATAGCAACAGCTGTTTGCATTTTAGATGCCATAGGTATTGTTTGCTGTTGACAATACATGTCCTGTAACAGCCTTGCAAATGAGTTATGGATTTTTCGCAAGGTTGACTCATGCAAATAAAATACCAGTATTCAAGGTAAACAAGATCAGCTTTCAGTGCGCTTAGAGTTTTAACTTTGTTCGCCTCAGTGCTTAGCAACTACAGGGTCATTTAGCTGAGCTCATCTATCCTTGTCAGAGAGGCCTGTCTGTAGGACTTTTACGCTTGACGCCTCTGGCTTTTAATACAAGCAGTCTTCTAACATTTTAAACACATTAATCTTAAAAGTTTTAAATGATCTGTGCTGTTTTAAGTAGATGATTATATAAAGTAACCCTGGCCCTACTTCTTTTATCTCCCTCATCTGCTTCTCTTCCTCCTTCTTTATAGCTAATAACGTAACAGGTAAGCGTAAAGGTCAAGCTTACCCTGTTCCAGATAAAGGAATTATTGTCTTGTCCCAGATGGACGTTTTAGTCGTATTTAGTATCTCATTTACTTAAGGCCATGAGGTTGTTGGATTGCAACTAGACATTATTTAGGTTTATGTGCCGTTTCCTGAGGCAGTCCAGCTGGTGAAAGGCCTTGTGGTTCCAGCTGGTAGTGAAGGGAAAGTGTAACATGCAGACAATTGCAAGTATTAAAGGAAACACCCAACGTGACTGTCGGAACTTTTTAAAGACCTTGTTATTAAAAGATAGAATGCTGATGTCTTCAAAATATGTTCAGGGTGTCATTTGTTCAAGGTCTACATTGTGTCTTTTTTAATTAAGACACAGTTCTCATGGGTGTCTTAACCCAGAATAGGATTGCGGCTTATGAGTTACGAATAAAGGTGAGGGTTGAAAATTGAGTATAAGCAAATAAAACACAGAAATAACAAATAATGTCCAATAGCAATATAAAACTTTTCTTAAAATAGGAAACCGTCACTGTTCTTTCAACCTTCCTGTGACATCTTTGTTGTTTACTCCTTAGTAAATACCGGTACTCCAGAGTGACTCCCAGTATATAGTGTTCACCCTCAGTGTCAAATATTGTCTTTAGAGATAAATCCAAGTGCTGAGTCCTAAAGGTATCCTGAGAGTTCTCCCATAGCCATCAAAGTGTTTTGGGGAAAACATTGTTTCATCGTATATGCCTTTTATGAAAGACTTCCGTATACATGCAGATACGTTTTCTCACAGTTGTTTTTATTTTACAGCGGCTTGTTTCATTGGTATAAGACAGAAAGAGGCAGGAGAAGTTCCTTAATTAATTGTATTAACATTAACAACCCAGAAGCCTGAAGCTACATTCTTACACGCTTGTCATCACCTCCCAGCTTTTGGATATTATTAGACTGCAGCCATCACAAGTGTCATACACCTATGAATGAACAGCATGCACTGACAATCAGAAACTTTATGTTTGCAGGTAAAGTTGTATTTAGACATAGATGCAAAGAAAATGATTCAACACATCGGATAGGGTGGATTGGGCTTGTTGATGACGCCAATAATTGTAAGTGGACTGTGTTTGAGGATTGTCAAAATTAAAATTAGAGTTTCAAAAAAATCATCTTCTTTGAATTCTGTATTTTCTCAATGCATTTATTTATGTGATTAATAGAAATAAGGTTCATAAAGCACTACCCATGTCATAATTTGAACGTCTGACAAACATGTTGCTTGTTTTATATCGCCCTTTGCTATACTGTAGTCACTGTTTGGGCTGAGTCTCGGTGTAAGCCGAGTCTCTGCCCCACCTGTCTGTATATCTCTCTATCTGTTGTTAGCGTCACACAACCAGACAGACAGGACAGGCGTTCCAGCACATTTCCCTGCTTCCGTCAAACATCAAGGGGTGTTTTAACAAATGAGGTTGCTATTAGTTACTGTTCTCTGAAGCATGTGCGAGAGTGCATGTGTGTATGTGCCAAGGAGGGAGAGAAAGGCAGGTAAATGATGGGATCAGGTTGCTGGAGAGGAAAAAGGCTGAAAGACAGGTTGGCTCAGTGGCAGCGGCGCAGCCAATAGTGCAGGTGTTGTTTATTACAAGATTCTCAAGAAACGAGAAAATAGAGGAAACTGGAGCTGTGAGGGATGGAGGTGCGAAGATGGGTTTTTGTTTTGCATTCCTCGCCATTACATGGAAAAAGACACTCGTTTCCCAACCAGAGCCAGATTATTCCTAATGCAGATGTACGTTCATTAGCTTCGGCCTGACAGGGTGGCTTTTTAATGTTGTTACTTTTTCTGCTGACTTTTGGGATGTTTTATAATTAGCTTTATATTTGCAGCTTGCGACCACTCAAACCCAGGGTGGTCCTGCTGTTGTTGACTGTAGATGCTCGGCCATTGATTATTATCAAGAACTCGCATATAAGAAGCAGACCCCTGAAACGTTAATTACTGCACTGTGTATTCACTATAATGCTCTTTATGGGAGGTGTAATACCTTAGTATGCACGACAGAGTCCTAATAACCTGCTTCTCATTTATAATTTGCCTCTAGGCAGCTCTTCCATGTGTCTCCAAAGAACAGTCAGCAAGCAGGAGACATGTAGCAGCAAAGCTCATTAACTACCAGTAGCCAAGCATATGCATTAGAACATATGCAGTTGTCTGTCCCTCAAAGTAACTTTGGCAAATAATGAGTGAGAATCATGTAATTCTTCAAGAAGAATGTGAACTTTGTCATCCAGGTGATGGCTACAAGCATTATTGCATTGAGAGTCTACCCAGGTGTGCACACAATACGTATACACTCGCACCCTTGCCATTACAAGACATTATGCTCTTCCTTAAACTCAGCTTTCCAAGCTTCACATCTGTTTTTTTTTTATACCCGTCTTTGTTCTCAGTCTCAGTTC